CTGTGCTCAAACCAATGCTGTGTTTCTTTGATTAACAATACAGTACAAATAGTGAAATATTATTATAATTTCAAACAGCTGTTTTCTGTGTGAATCTCTGTTGAACTGTAATGTATTTCTGTGATGCGCAGCTGTATTTTCAGCATCATTCCTCCAGTCTTCAGTGTCACATGATCTTCAGAAATCAGTATAATATGCTGATTTAAGAAACATTTCTGATTATTATAAATGCTGAAAATAGTCGTGCTGCACAATATTTTTGTGGAAACCGGGATGCATTTTATTTTTCAGGATTCACAGATGAACAGAAAGTTCAAAAGAACAGCATTTATTTGAAATAGAAATCATTTGTAGCATTATAAGTGATCAATTTAATGCAGCCTTGTTGAATAAACTATTAATGTCTTTTTTAAAAACTTGACAATTGCAATTTTTCACCATTTTGAAGCTACAGCTTTTTTATTTTTATTTAAGTTTAAGTTATTTTAGTAAATCAAGTTAAACTAAATTAAAATGAGATGTTGCCTTGGCAACTAGCTGAAATAAAATAAGTTCATTTTTATTTTATTTTGAATTTTATTTCAGTTAATGTTTATTTTATTTCAAGTTAAGTCAAATGTTTTTTTTTTAAGGTTTTAATTTTAGTTAACTACAATCACCCTGTTTCATATAACATTATATTAATTATTTATATACTGAATTAGATTTTTGTCATTTTCAGTATGTTTTTTATGTCTATATATTTTTATTTAAGTTTTAGTTATTTAAGTACATCAAGTTTAAATTAAAACGATTCATGTCGTCTCAGAAACTAGCTTAAATAAAATAAGTTTTAGTTTTTTAATATTTATTTTTATTTTAATGTTGGTGATTTTTTTATGTTTCAGTTTTAGTTTTAGTCAATAACCCTGTTTTGTATACTATTGTAGTATTTATTAATATACCGAATTAGTTTTTATTTTTATATCTCCAGTTTTCATTTTAATTTTAGTCATTTTTATTATTATATTTATTTCCATTTAGCTTTTTTTTTTTTTTTTTTTCCAGTTTTACTTCTAGCACTTCAACTTAAATGTAATTTTAAATAGTTTGGCCAAGCAACATTTTGTTTACGCTGGGGGATATTTGTAGCAATAGCCAACAATACATTGTATGGGTCACAATTATGCATTTTTCTTTTATGCCAAAAATCATTAGGATATTAAGTAAAGATCATGTTCCATGAAGATATTTAGTAAACTTCCTACCATAAATATATCAAAATGCATTGCTAAGAACTTCATTTGAACAACTTTAAAGATGATTTTCTCAATATTTAGATTTTTTTGCACCCTCAGATTCCAGATTTTCTAATAGTTGCCAAATATTGTCCGATCCTAACAAACCATACATCAATGGAAAGCTTATTTATTCAGCTTCCAGATGATGCATACATCTCAATTTCGAAAAATTGACCCTTATGACTGATTTTGTGCTCCAGGGTCACATTTATAACTCATGCTAGCTCTGAATTAGTTTTTTGGAGAACAACATCAGTTTTCTAGCACACGGTAATCTATGATCAGAAGAGTTTGTGTGAATCACCGTGATGTAAGCTCTGCTCTCCACTCCGCTCAGATTGAGCAGCAGCGGACGCTCCTCGTTGATGTCGGTGTCGTAGTCGGAAGGCCAGGGATCCGGGATGGAGGCGTTGGAGCGACCCGTGACCCAGTAGGACTGGAAGATCTTCTGCAGGTCAGCAGCCAGAGCGCTGGAGTTATAGATGACCACACCGAGCTCTTTGACCTGCGTTAAAGCTCTCCAGTCCATGTTGGCGCTGCCGATGTAGACGTGTTTCCCGTCCACGATCCAGAACTTGGAGTGAAGGATTCCTTTGGTCAAACGGCCGAAGTTGACGCGGCGTATCTGCACTCCTGCATCCAGACACACGCTTACTATCCTGAACAATCACTGAAATACAGCTGAACTAAGATAAAACAGAAATACTTGAAGAAAGGCTCAGGTAGAAGTAAAATTAGGAATGTTGCAATTAAATTACTAACTGGAAATAAAGAACTAAAACTGAACTAAATCTAAGGCTGAAACAAAAATAAATTTAAAAAACAGTAATTTAAAAATTATAATAAAAATTATAAAAAATACAACAAATTTACCAAAAAATTAAACTAATAATTAAAATAAAAAATAAAATTATAAAAATAAAAATTAGATGAAAAACTTAAACTAAAGGAAAATTAAAAACTGAAATAAGTTTCAGATGAAGCAATAAAATTACTAACTGGAAATAAAAAAAACCAAACTGAAATAAAATTAAAACTGAAATAAAAATAAATTAAACAAACAGTAGTTCAAAACAAAAACACAAAATTACAACAAAAAAAATAAATCAATAATTAATGAATTAGATGAAAAACCTAAGGTAAAGGAACATTTAAAATGTTGCCTGGGCAATAAATAAAAACTAAAACTGAAATAAAAATAAATTAAATCTAAACAGTAAAATAAATAAATAAAAGACAAAAACACAACAAAATTATTAAAAAATTTCATCAATAATTAAACAGAAAACAAATAAAATAAAGGTTATTAAATATATTAAACTAAATATTTAAAAAACTAATAAAAAATGACAAAAGCACATAACAAAATTACTAAAAATGAAACGAATATTTAAAATGAATAAATAAAAGCGAATTCAAAATATTAATGGTATACAAATAACGCTCAAACGACACCAGTTAGGACTTGAGGAAAATGTCTGGAATATTTTCGGTAGATAATTAAGAGTAGAAATATTTGAAACTAGTCTGAAGTTGGTCAAATCAAAGCAAACGAAACGTAAGGCTGCATCCTTCCTGACCGTGTTCTTTGAGGGCTTTCAGGTCGGTTGAATTGGGAGCTAAAGTGGGGATGCTGGTGACGACGCGCACAGACACGTTCCTGGACGGCAAAGCCTTGAACTCTTCTAAAATCTCTCTGCCCTGAGAAACAAGAAACCATGCTTCAAAAACAGCAATACTTTCACATGCATCGTATTGCAGTTATGACGATAAAAATGTCAAACAACTTTTGAGTGAGTAAATGATGGTATCAAAATAAAGTGAATTGAGGTGAATTATTCCTTTAATGTTAATAAAACACCAAAACACAAAGAGAAAAATCACTCACTACTCTTGACTGAAAAACTTTAATACAGTTGCTTTGATAGGAATCAATCTATCTAGTGTTTTATTTTTATATTTGTTCATGCAATTTCTTGAATGCTCATGCTAAATACACCTACTGTACCAGAAAATAAAGCACTGTTTGTTTTATTTGTATATTATGTGTATTTGTAATGTGCATCCTTGTTCTCATTTTTTAATAACAGATAAAATAATGACGATGATTTTTATCTTCACCCACTTTGGCCTAAATATACACCATTCTTTTTTTAATGCTGTCAAACGATTAATCTCGATTAATCGCATCCAAAATAAAAGTTTGTGTTTACATAATATATGTGTGTGTGTACTGTGTGTATTTATTATGTATATATAAAGACACGCATACAGTATATATGTATTTACATGCATATATATATTTATATTCATATCATTTATATTATAAATATATTTAATAGATAAACATTTCATATTTTTCTTAAATATATACATGCATATGTTTGTATTTATATATACATAATAAATATGCACAGTACACACATATAATGTGAACAAAAACTTTTATTTTGAATGCGATTAATCGCGATTAATCGTTTGACAGCACTAATTTACATATTAAATATATTTATACATAATACAAATTATATGAATATAAATATATGCATGTAAATACATGTAATTGTTTTCAAAATATATACATGTATGTTTTTGTATTCATATATACATAATAAATACACACAGTACACACACATATATTATGTAAACAAAAACTTTTATTTTGGAAGCGATTAATCGCGATTAATCGATTGACAGCATTATTCTTTTTATATTTTGTTACCTTGAAAGGCTTTGTCTTGATAATATGGAAAATAGGTTGGCTGTAATGCTCAGACAACTTGCAAAATAGAATTGTGATAAAATCGTGAAATTTCTAAAGAAAAATCGTGATATGATATTTTTGCCATATATCCTAACCCCCTAATTGCAATCATGGCTTCGTGTCAGTGTTGAAGGTACCGGTGTGTCGCTGGAGGAGTTGACGCTGATGTCTTCGCCGGTCAGACACCAGTAGAAGGACGCCACGTCGATCTGTTCGGAGGCCGAAGACAGAAGATCCTTCCAGGCTTCAAACAGATCCACTCCAGCGCTCACCTTCCTCCCGTAATCCACACCCAGAGGAAAACTCTCCACCAGAACAATACTGCCAGAAATCACACAGCCAGACCCCATCTGAGTCTCACAGATTCATAACTCGGTTTATCGAATCATCCTCCAGAGAAAACACATGCTTTGTTGCTTTTGAAAGCAAATTCACACAAAGTTTGACTGTCATCACTCACGGAAATGTGAGAAAATTATGGCATTGTTCATAAAGGGACACGTAATATCATCTGTGTGCTGTTAGTGGCGGGACACAAGCACAAATTCACCACAACAGTGAACTAAAAATAATCGATAACTGAACCTAAAACCATTAAAAAACTAATTTACTTGAAATAAAAGTACTAAAAAACTAAATCTAAATAAAAACAAAAACGTATATATATTTAAATTACAAACCACAACAAAATTACTAAGACTTTAAAACTGAAATAAAAACAGAAAATATTAAAAAATAAAATATGAAAAACTATAAATATCAATGATGCCTAAAAATAAATAAATAAATGAACGAACGAATGAACAAATTAATGAATGAGTGAGTGAATGAATGGAGTGAATGGATGAATGAATGAAGGAACTGATGAATTAGTGAATGAATGAGTGAATTAATGAATGAGTGAACGAACGGATTAATTAGTGAACGAATGAGTGAATGAACAAATGAATGAGTGAGTGAATGAATGAATGAATGAGTGAGTGTGTGAATGAATGAGTGAACGAATGGATGAATTAGTGAACGAATGAGTGAATGAACAAATGAATGAGTGAGTGAGTGAATGAATGGAGTGAATGAATGAATAATTGAGTGAGTGAGTGAGTGAATGAATGAA